ATCTTTGGGAGATATTGCTTCTCCGGATCAGGTATAATCCTTCCTTTTACCTTTTGGTTCAAATCTGGTTCGATTATGGTTCAGATAAGATCCTTGAATATGGTATTCTAAATTTRRGGAATACGATTCCCAGTTGGAGGAAGGTAGAAAAATTTTTGAAATTCGCCCACCCATTCCGCAACCTCTTTGGCGTCCATTAGATGGATTCTACCATTCCTTCAATTCTATCATTTTTCGGTAACATAGTAGAAGAAACCTTAAAGGAAGAAACCAATAATTTCCCTTAAATGGAGGTTTTGAACTTTGGAAGGGAAAAAGTCTACAATGATTGTCTTATTTGTAAATTGTACGATGGGAATAATTATTAATTTTTATTATTACCCATTTTGTAAGAAGTGATTAGGGTTGGAAACAAATTGAGCCGAGCTTAAGCTTAATATAACTGAGATCGTAAGGCTCATGAGCTTAATCGAGCTTATATATATTAATATATAAGTGCAGATCTTGAGTTCGAAGATTATCAGGTGACATGAGTGGTTGATTCGGAATCTTTGCGTATGAAGGACAATATGGGTATTTTGGATCTGAAATTCGACGGGTTGTTGATCGAGATATTTGGAATCCAATGGGTATGTTTCATGTCTTTAGAGGCATTGGAATCACAGGAATTTGGGTAGCGAATATCTCGGCCAATGAGGTGGCTTAAAATGGAATCTTATCTTGATGAATGGTTAAAGGAGGGGATTTCGTGTTGGATTTTGGTGGAATGGCATTTATTTGAAGTGCAATGTTGTTGGGAGGATTTGATCACATCTAGGACACGTGGATTGCAAGTTTTTGGTTCGATAAGCGTTATGGGACTGAATGTATCGAAACAGAATCTCTTACGGATGAACGAAAAAATCCAGGTATTTAGGATTGAAACATGGTGTGATTTGATGCTAAAAGGTTTTATTTCATATGGTGAAGTTTGATCATGTGGCGGAAGTGGTGATGTGTTATGATCATGGTCATCAAAAGGGAATATTATAGATTAAGGTGGATTTGAGGGTGTTCGAGTTGAAATTTGGTGTCATTAGATTTTAGCACATCCTAAAGGGGTTGGTGAGGTCTGATCGGGCCCTTGGGGTATGACAAGTGGGACTGACCAAAAATCGGGTGCTGATAAGAGACAAGGGAGATTAATGGATGAGGTTTAAAGGGTTTTTGGAGGGAGATGTCAAGACAGCTTTGGGAGAAATCCCTCTCAATCAATCAAGACAATGAGTAAAAGATTTCACCAATTTACTTAAATTGGACATTCCAAGTTTAGGTGATTGGATTGATTGGTTGGGGGCTCCTAGTTGGATAAATCTTGGATTTTAAAATTTGTTAGAGGCTGGGAGAAAGGTTTGGTCGTGGTATGTCCTAGGTTCGATTTCGTAGTGAAGAGGATTCTAAATGGAAGGTCCAGATTGAGTCTAGATTCGGGTCTCAAGATGGAGGGGTTAACGGTAGTAGAATTGGATGATATTGGTACTGTTGGAATCAGAATTTTGAGCTCTACCCATATACAAGGTTGAATTTCAGATTTTGTATGGTATATTGTTCATGATCAAAAGTGATCTTGATCGGATGATCAAAATCAGTTCTGGCTTTGAGTCTTGAAATGAAGGGGTAAACAGTGTCGGATTTGGGTGATCGTGGTGTTATTGGATTTGGATTTTCATGATATATGTACCTATGGTTTTGGATTTTTGATTTTATGTGAAATGAGGTTTAGGATCAAAATGACCTAGAGATTGAATGGTTTTCACCATGCACATTTGTAACAAGGGCATATTCATAATTTTAACATATCCAATACATGATAGTTAATTGAAGGGTTGCCATCAAATTAAGGTGGAACTAGGGGGGACCCAAGGGATCCATGGTCCCCACTGTGCCCCAAAATATCCATTTATGTAAATCTATTGTCTTACACCATGTTAAAGTAGGACTAATAAACTACAATTTCCATTCAGATCAACAACTCTCCATCACGATAGATTGTTATTGACACATAAAAATAAGCCCCAATTATACCAATGGGATCAAATTCATATTTCTGCCTAGCCTAGAGCCTAGAGGTGCTGATTATATGAGATGGGAACAAGGTGAAGAGCCAATTTCTTGTGAGTAGTGAGACCAGGTGTCTCTTCCATGTCGATATCTTCCTTGTTCATTCCACAAGGCAATTTCCAGTCGAATGAGTAGAGAATATTTGAGAGTGCAAGAGTCACAATTGCTGCTCCAAGGTTTATCCCAGGACAATGCCTTCTGCCTGCTCCAAATGGTACAAGTTCAAAATGGAGTCCTTTAAAATCAATGGAACCATCCATGAACCTTTCTGGGTAAAATTCTTCTGGGTTTTCCCAACACTTAGGATCTCTTCCAATAGCCCATGGACTCACAATAACCCTTGTTTTAGGGAAAATGTTATATCCACTGATCTTACATTCCTCCATGGTTTCCCGTGGAGCGAGCAATGGACCAGGAGGGTGCATTCTTAGGATCTCCTTCACCACTGCCCTGAGGTATTGAAGCTGTTCAAGATCACTCTCTTCCACCATTCTTTTCTTCCTAATTGCATTTCTAATTTCGTCTTGAGCTTTTCTCATCACTCTTGGGTTCTTCATGAGCTCTGTCATTCCCCAAACAAGGGCTGCTGTGCTTGTATCAGTTCCAGCAACAAAAATATCCTGAAATGGAGGCATAATTGAAAATTATGTAAACTTCAGTTAAACAAATCATCTGATGTACAGATGCTCATCCAAAGGCAAAAAAAGAAGAAGAAAAAAACAAAAAGGAGGATATGCAGTAAATATGTGATGAGTGGTGACCATGAGGGCAGCCTTTATGTGGTCTATGGTGAGGTCAATTCCACCAATTGCATCCTTTCTTATTTGAAGCAAGACATGAATGATATCTTCATGGCCCAGCACTTCCTGTGTCTCAGAATTTAGGTGCTCATCGATGACAGATTGATAGAAATCATCCATTTCTCTAAAATTCTTTTCAAGCCTAGAAGTTTGTCCAATTAGCACATCGATTATCCAGCCAATGGATGGGAAGTAATCCTCAACATAGAAGCCACCCAACAAAGCCTGTGCTTCTTGCAGCATGTCTTGAAATCTACTTCTTGTACACACTTCATCTTGAAACCTCTTACCCAGAGCAATCCTACAGATGATGTTGTTGACAAGGGAAAGCATGATTTCACTAATGTTAATAGGAGTACCAGGCGAAGAACAGGAAGATCTTGCTATCAAGTCGRTCATCAGATCCACCTCGTTCTCCCTTATGAATTGAAACGACTGCACCTTCTTTGTGTTGAAAAGTTGGACAAAACAAATCTTCTTCAAGTCTCTCCAGTACTCTCCGAATGGCGAAAAAGCTATATCTTTGAATTGGTAAGAAAGTTTTCTGGGTCCAACTAGGGGAGGCCTGCTACAGAACTGAAGGTCATGAGTCCTAAGAACCTCCTCGGCCATTTTGGCTGAGGAAATCACCACTGTTGATACATGGCCCAGCTGTAAATGCATCAGAGGGCCATGTTGCTTCGCTAGTTGCCATAAGGAGCGATGGGGGAGCTTGCCAATTTGGTGCAAATTCCCAATGATGGGAAGCCTAGAAGGGCCAGGAGGGACGTTTACATTCCTCTCTACAATAACCATCTTTTTTGTTTGAAGAATAAACAGGATGGAAAGAAGAAGAATCAGGATGGGAAGAAGACATAATATGGAAACATCCATTGTACAAGGTGCGCAATAACTACTTTTAGCTTGAATCAGGAATAAGGAGTTGGGATTCAAGCCTTAAATAACACAACTACTACTGTATTTCTTTCTACTCTACAAGATGCAACATCTCATGATTGTGACCACCACATCGACATCTCATGACCATGGAAATTAATGTTCCCAGATACAACACGCCATGTGGACTTTTTTTGTATGGTCACTAACATCTATCTTCATCAGATCGATTGTGTGGTCGGAATTGATATATATGAACTAGCTTACCGGTGGTTGTAACTTCATTTTAGAAAGCATTATGTTCATATAAGGGTGGTGGATGGTACATACCCATGTGTATGCTAAGTCTGGATCTGTTCCTCACACCAACCTCACAGTATGTCACAACCGCATATCGAAAATATCTCTCATCCTTGTATGTTATTCATGGGGAGATGTTCCTAATTGCACCCGGGATTTCCTACCTTTTCCTAGGCGGGTAGAGATTGGGTAGGAAAAATTTGTAGGAAATCTGGGCTCCCTAATACGTGGTGGGATGTTCTATGAATTCGGTATGAGGACCACTCTCATTTATGTCATGTGTTTTGAAAAAAAAATGTGTATAACATGTTCCTTATGACTTGTGAGACATTTCTAAAATTCTAATCCCTGTATGTTGTTATTCATGGGGAGATGTTTCCAATGCACGGTGGGATTTTCTATGAGGTTGATGTCAGTGCGATAAGCGAATCCTGATTCACATTCAGTTATGTCATGTGTTTTGAAAAAAAAATGTGCATGACATATTGCGTGTCCGATATTTCTAAAATTCTAATCCTTGTATGTTCTTATTCATGGCGAGACGTTCCCAATGCAGTGGGATTTTCTCTGAGGTTGGTGTGAGTGTGAGGGGCAAGTCCCAATTATTTTGAAAAAAATGTGTATGTCATTTTCTTTGTGAGACATTTCTAAAATTCTAAAATGCGATTATCTTGTTTTACTGGGTAATGTTACCCTTTACTAATACTTATGGCATCGAACAAAATGAAATGTCTACATAGCCAACCCTCTATTATTGGGATAAGACTTATATAAAATGAGGAGTGATTTCTTGAATCATAATAATCTTTTAGGAGGCATTTAGCAAGTCTTTTTTGGATTATTTTTCAAAAGTTCAAGGCCTTAAAAGATTAATGAGTTTTTTACAGGTAGAGATCTTTACAGACAAAAGACCATTTTGCCTGCAATTTTTTTAAAGATCTTTTCAAAAGGTAGAAAGCCCAAAAGACTGTTTAGCAAGCACACATGTTGATCCCTATCTCTTACCTACATATGTTATGTGAGGAACCCAATAACATTCAAACATGCAAATATTACTTGTGAGTCCCACTTACACATTTATCTACACAAAATATTAAAATGGCTCCACTCGCACATTTCCCTATACAATATAACAAATTAGTCCCTATTTACACATTAACATATGCGGTTATCATGCACCTATGGGATCCACTCACGCATTCACTTATAAAAAAATCAATGCAAGTCCCACATAACTCACCATAGAAAATAAGTACAATAATGTACTTACATGCATCATCCAAAAAGTAAACAGACCAAAATGCAACTTTAGGTAAATCTCCTCAAGATATTTAACAAGCAAGAAATTACAACTGGTTTTTTGCCATTAAAAGTATGAAACCTAGATACCATCCCAATGCTAGTATATTGTGTTGGTATGTCAATTTCTGGTGTAAGCGTTTGTATATTTCCAACACCCTATATATCTAGCTATTCTATCATTTTCCGGTAACATAATAGAAGAAACCTTAAAGGAAGAAACCAATAATTTCCCTTAAATGGAGGTTTTGAACTTTGTATGCCCTTAGCTTCAATCCGATTTGATGTACTTTTGTTATTTAGTAGAAATAAATAAAGTACATGTTTGATTCATGTTGTTTGGTTTAATTCTATGTAAGACCCTAAAACTTGACACTTATAGAGACTCGTGTTAGTTTTAAATATTCACAGCCGTTGGATAAGTCCGGGACTTCAACTCATGCGTGTAACTCACTGCAGGGGTTCAAAGTTAGCAGATGGTTGAGTGAAGGGGAAATGACACTGTTCTTGGGAATGACTGCAAGTGTTGCTGCTGCGGCAATAGGAACCGTAGAATTAGTTTTTAGAGAAGGAGTACTTGTGCTTAAAGATTGTCTTTATGTACAAAACTTGAGAAGAAATTTAATTTCTATTTCTAAACTGTGTGCTGATGGATATACTGTTTGTTTTAGTAATATGATAAACGGAATAACAAATTCATCGCATGCGGGGAACTAGAGAATGGTCTCTATGTTCTACATCCTTCTTTGGAAACTAAGTTAATCGAAACTATGTCGGTCGAAAATCCCAAGAAAAGGAATCGTGATACAGTAAGTCCCACGTGCCTCTGGCATTATCGACTTGGCCATATCGGTATTAACCGAATCACAAGGCCGGTAAAGGATGGTCCTTTGGATTTTCTAACCGTAGAAAATCTTCCCATTTGTGAACCTTGCCTTTAAGGTAAGATGTCTAAGCAGCCATTTGATGGTAAGCCTGAAAGATCTGAAGGCACACTTGACCTAATACATACTAATGTATGTGGTCCCCTGAGTGTTAGGATACGGAATCAACACGTGTATTTCATCACTTTTACAGATGATTTTTTCACGATATGGTTACGTGTACTTAATGAGACATAAGTCTGAATCCTTTGAAAAGTTCAAAGATTTCAGACAGGAAGTCGAGAAACAGTTAGGAAGAGAAATTAAGGCCCTTTGATCAAATCGAGGTGGCGAGTATCTCTCTAACGAATTTAGGGACTACTTAAAGGACAATGGGATAGTGTCACAATTAGCTCCTCCTGTTACACCTCAACTCAACGGTGTTTCGGAGAGGAGGAATAGGACCTTGTTGGACATGGTCCGGTCACTTCTCGTATGCTCAGAATTACCCACATCCTTTTGGGGATACGCATTAGAGACTGCTATCTACGTGCTGAATCGGGTTCC